TGAGGCTGTTACCAGAATGCAAATGGGTCATAGAAACAGGAGCAGGTCACCACAACGACCCCGATTTGCAATCACACGACAGGCACAAATGTCCAGACAATCTGGGCAGTTTTGTTGAAAAGACTGGATGAACATGGAATAAACATACATCCAAGTGTGTTTTCGGTGTTCAAACTTTAGAATTTCTCGGTCACACAATAAGCCCAGAAGGGATTAAACCTATCAAAAAAGAAGTGGATACCATCAAACAATACCCCGTACCTAGTTCTCTAACACAACTGAGAAGTTTTCTAGGCCTAATTAACTTTTATCGCAGATTCATACCAGGTTGTGCACAATTAATGCAACCTTTGACAGATTCACTTAAAGGAAAACCAAAAGAATTCAAACTGTCTTCTGACGCCATCGAAGCTATTAAACAGCTTAAAGATAAACTGGCTCAAGCAACTACGTTGATATATCCGAATTCTCTTTCCCCACTTGCTTTGATGGTGGATGCTTCAGATAAAGCAGTAGGCGGTACCCTTAACCAACTGGTTAAAAACGCCTGGAAACCAATTGCTTTCTTCTCGAAAAGACTCGCTCCAGCCGAAACAAGGTATTCTACCTTCGGGCGAGAACTTCTTGCAATCTACCTGACCATTAAACACTTCCGACACATGTTAGAAGGTAGGGAATTTATAGTCTTTACGGATCACAAACCACTGACGAATGCATTAAAAGCGAGAGCCGATAAATACTCACCTCGAGAAGTCCGACACCTTGACTATATATCACAGTTCACAAGCGATATCCGACATGTCAAAGGTCAGGACAATCAGGCGGCAGATGCTTTATCCAGACTAGAAATGAACGTGCTACAGCAGTCTACAGTAAACTTCGAGACGTTAAGACACGAACAAGAGCAGGACCTAGAATTACAAAACCTACTTAAAACAAACAATTCAAGTCTTAATTTAAAACAATTCCCATCACCTATCGATGGTATTCTAATTTATTGTGACACGACCAAGGCAATGCCGCGACCTTTCGTTCCCAAAAATATGCGAAAGTTGATATATAATAACTTTCATTCTTTGTCTCATCCTGGCGCGAAAGCTTCAACAAAACTAATCAATGCCAGATATATATGGCCGAATTTACAGAAGGATGTACACAAATGGGTTAGAGAGTGTTCAGCATGTCAACAATCAAAGATTAATCGTCACACAAATTCACCCATAGGTGTTTTCTCGCAACCAGATGCACGTTTTGCCCATGTGCATATCGACTTGGTAGGTCCTTTACCACGTTCAAACGGTTTTAATTATCTTTTTACATGCATAGATCGATTTACCAGATTCCCTATAGCCATCCCGATAGCGGACATCACAGCGGAAACAGTAGCCAAAGTTTTCATGCAGAACTGGGTAACCATTTTTGGTACACCCATAACAATAACGACGGATAGAGGAGCGCAATTCGAATCCGAACTATTTAATAACTTGGCTAAACTTCTAGGCTCCAATAGGATACGCTGCACTGCATATCATCCTCAGGCTAATGGGATGGTAGAACGTTTTCACCGTCAGCTAAAAACCGCCCTTATATCTCACTCAAACCCCAATCAGTGGACAGAATTCCTACCGTTAGTTATGTTGGGAATACGAACATCTGTCAAAACTGACGCACAGTGTTCAGCTGCGGAACTGGTTTTCGGAACAACTCTGAGACTACCAGGTGAATTTATTAACCCTAATACTAACAGTCAAAAACTTAATTTAGAAAATTATGTAGATCAACTACGGGACCACATGTCTAAACTTAAGCCGATTAATACTCGTGAACAATCGCGCGCCGTATATATACCTAAAGACCTAAGCAATTGCACGCACGTCTGGATAAGATGTGACAAAATAAAAGCACCACTCAGTCCTCCATTTGAAGGTCCTTTCAAAGTCGTCTCAAGAAAATCTAAATATTTCGTGATAGAAAAACATGGAAACATCGACACAGTAAGTATTGATAGGCTAAAGCCGGCTTATCTAGATCATGAACCACCATACGTGTTGTTAGATCGTTTAACTGACAAATCCATTACGGAATCGAAATGTAAAGATGATAAATCTTTACAAATGACTAAAACGGTTCGCTGGGCACATCCGATCAGTCAGTCAAGGATGTTGACAGTTTCGGCTGCAGGATAAAATCTAATCACGTAGCTAATCAGACCCTGCATTTACTTAAAAATATTTTTTTCCCTCATTCCGCCTCACCTACAACTCCCCAGACCTTTTACCTTTGATATATAAGTGTTATGTTAATAATTTTTTTAAAAAATACTGGACACATAAGCTAGGTATTCCGAAACGATGGCTGAGGATTTTAATCAAACTCATACAACTAACACTGGCAAATACAAAGAATTCAAAAAGCAACCCGCGAACTTTGAAAGTGGTAACATTTTTTCACGTGGTTTAGGAATTTTTCGACTTGCTCTTTTGTAGGGTGTATTATACAGTGATTATCATCCTATCCTGTACATCGGGTACATCTTACCCCGAAAAATAAGGAAAAAACTTGTTTTTATTCGACGGATAATTACCAGTTCGTATTGTACCTATTGCGGACTTAAGTCGTAAATAGATCTGCAATTCATTATATACTCACAGTCTCTAATCCTAGTATTAACCAGGTTAATACTTAATAACAACTAATACTCAGATATTACATTTAATTTAACGAGCACTGTGCTCACTTATTTTCATATCATGTCCAATAACTCCAGTAAAAGAGGAATTTCACCAACTTCTAAGCCAAATAAAAGGTCCAAATCTGTAACCCCTACAACTGACGACTTAGTGCTTGACAATGTCGAACCTTTAACTACTGAAAAATATGTGTATTGTACACAAATGTCTCTATCGTCACCAGATTCTCCATGTCGCAGCCCCTCTATCTTTACGTGCAGTATGCCAACGGTAAGACTGGTTGACATACAAGACACTATACCTACGTGCATCGAAAAGTCAGCACAGTCTACTAGACAGTATGTGCTACCAAGGCCTAAATCTAAAATTTCAAAAACTAAAGAGTCCAATGGTCCACCTCATACACACCAAAATACTGATAGATATAGTAATGACATCCGACAGCTACAAAACTCTCTATCCGAAATTAACGGCAAACTTGAGCAATTAGCACCCCTCACTCATATATGGGGCCTTGATACAGACAGAAATCTTGAGCAACTCACTAAAGCTGAGTGTATTTTGGAGTTTGTGGCTGAAGAAGTGACGAAGAGAGTGATGTCCTCCTTCAATGCAGTTGTGTATAACCTCCCCGACCGCACACACCCATCTAAGTTAAGGGATATTTGCCTTAGAGCATGCGGTATGCCGAACGTTAACTGCAAAGTCATCCGCCTTAGAAAAAAGTCAGACAGATCGACTTGCCCCCTTTTGTTTATGTTTGGCTGTTGTAACGATGCTAAGCAGTTTATTAATCTGAGCAAAAATATTAGCTCACTAATTCCATACAAGAATATAAAAGTCACTCCAGACCTTACGCCCTGTCAACGTCGTGTAAGAAGACGCGAAGCGATAGAATTGAATGGGAGTGTTACAGTTAATAATCAGCCAGAGACAGTTTGCAACACAGCAAATAGTTTAAAACACACGAACAATAAGCATGACACCACTCCACATACGGCTGATCACTCTGTTGATCTAGATGAGTCTACAGATCAGAAACCTTTGGATAAGATACGGACCCCAACTGACACCAAAAACCATAACGACATGACTAATCCCAGCTGTTCGTTCAGTAATGTACTAAAATGTGAGTCGTGTAACAACACACATCCAACTAAACCTATACACTTGAAAATTTGTCCTCCTAAAGGTATTCCACAAGTAGACTTGAATGAACGTAAGTTCATCTCACAGAGACAACGAAAGACTCCAGCTCTGAAAATAAAGGGTGGGAAGACAAAACTCATAATACCGAATAGGGAAACACGTAAGATTGAACCCAACTGCTCTATAGGTATCCCAAGAACAGTGAACAGGTTCTCCCCGCTGCTATCGTATAACTTGCCTTCAACACCTCCAAGTTGCAAAAAGGGTGGTGGGCTTCAACGTAGCAAGCCTTCTTACACGCAGACTAACGAAAACTACCAGAGAACTGGCCACCCAAATCACCCCCTGAAGCCTAAAACCATGAATAAGAATGGTAATAATAGGTTTCTCACTCCACACCCTACCTACATTCCCCAGGATCGCAACTGTAATTACTCTCAGAAAGAAAACTTCTCACACCCTTTAGTACCGACCCATCACATAACAACGGCTCCCATGTATAACAGCAGTCGCAACTCCTCCCAGTTACGCGTAGCAGACCCCTCTCACGCTAACGTAAATAGCCATAACAGGGGCTACGAGTCTAACCATCAAGACTATTTTGTAAATAACCATACACTTCACAGTAGGCCTGTACAAGATTTTTTTGGAATAAGACCCCTAGTGACACCTCTGTTGAAGCATATAGCCCAGGTTATTTCAAACCACATGCAAACCATAAATTTGTTTCCTCCGTACAGTTTCCACCAGAGAGTACTCCCACCCTTTCCTCCTGGGTAAACTCCCCAATCAACTTCACTAGCTCATTTGATACATCTCCCAATAAGTCTAGCTATCAAAATACCGAGCTAATGAAGAACATCCAATCCCTCACATCAAACTCATCTCATACGCGCGAGGGTTACGACAATTTTATCCGAGATACCCTCACCCATTTTAACTTAGTAGGCCACCTGCTTAATATATGTCTTATCAACGCTCGATCGATCTGCAACAAAAAGACGGATTTAGCCCTGTTTGTATCCATATATCAACCATCAGTTATTATGATATCTGAAGCATGGACTAACAGTAATATTTCCGACCGAAGTATATCTCTTGATAACTATTCCCTATATAGAAGCGATAGATTGAATGGACGAGGCGGAGGATGCCTTATTTACGCTCACTCTAGCCTAAACTCACTGCTATGTGATATGCCTGAACTAAACAAACTGAAGGATTCGGTGTGGATTGTATTAAAGCCGTCGAATTCCGTTACCTTACTGCTCGGCTGTGTTTATCGTCAACCTAACGCATCAATAGATGAAATAGCAGTATTATCGGAGGTATTCACACTAGCATCATCCCTCTCATTCACAGGCAAGCTCATTTGTGGTGACTTCAATATGCCCGAAATTTCTTGGCTGCCAGTCAAAGCGCCGAGACGTTATGAATCATTTATTGAATGTCTAGAGCTTGGACAATGGACTCAGTATGTCGATAGCCCTACCAGACATCAAAACATCTTAGACTTAGTCTTTACCAGTGGCCTCATCCCCAATACTTTGTATATTGGAAAAAAGTTCCCAGGTAGTGATCACAACATTGTCATATGCAGCCTTAATGTAAAAACCACAACCGATAGAAGTAAAACCGTAACACTTCGTAGAAACTATCGCAAGGTTGATTGGAATAACTTCCACAATTACTTAAGAAGCACTGATTGGAGAACTTTCTTTACCTCAAACAATACCGACACATTAACCAATATATTTTATCACAACATCAAAAGTATCATCAACAACATCGCACCTTTAGAATACTGTAAACCTACGTTCTCCAAAGATCTCTATATACCGGTCAGTACAAGAAGACGTCTTCAAAGACATTGTACTCGATTCCACAACTTAAATGACTTTTCCTCTTTAGTAACGATGACAGAAATACTTGTCCGAACAGAGGCAATAAGTAAACAAAAAGCAGTAGCACAGGAAAAACGTGCAGTTGAACTTAATAATAACTCCTCTGCACTCACCATACTACTCCAAAATAAACTTAAACGCTCTAAATCGAGAGGGAGTATATTCATTAAAGGCAAACAAGTATACGAAGATCCCAAACTTATCACAGAATTATTTAGTGAACATTTTTGTTTCTCACTAACTAACGAAAAACCATTTAATGATTCAGAACCAATCCCAGTAACTCCCTGTGAAATTACTAATGTAGAATTCAGTGTACAAAATATCTCCAAGGCAATCAGTACATTGAAACACTCCTACACTGATGGACCAGATGGTATCCCATCTAGCATGCTAAAACGTGGAGGTGATGATATGTGTGTTTTGCTTCTCAAACTATTCGCGATATCACTCTCTTCAGCGTGTTACCCTACTGCCTGGAAAACTACACATATCATTCCCAAAATTAAAACAGGACCTGAAGCAAACGTTGAAAATTACCGGCCTATAAACATAACTTCAGTGGTATCCAGAGTGATGGAAAAAGTAGTTAAGGCGGCTGTAGTCCAACATCTACTAACTAATAATCTCATCTCGACCTCCCAGCATGGATTTCTTAGGTCCAGATCATGCGATACATGCCTAGTAGACTACCTGAATGATATAACTCTGAAACGAGACAGCGGACTCCTTGTATCAGTCCTATTCCTAGACTTTAAGAAAGCCTTTGATAAGGTCCCACACAAAAGGCTACTCGTCAAACTAAAGTCCTTCGGAATACACAACCCACTGTACTCATGGTTTGCTTCGTTCTTAACAGAACGTAAACAGATGGTAAAGTACAATGACTGTCTCTCGTCCCCTAGACCAATCACCAGTGGAGTCATCCAGGGAAGCGTATTAGGTCCACTTTTGTTTCTTATGTATATAAACGATATATGTAACACCATAGAATTTGGGAAACCATACTTATATGCTGATGATCTCAAAATAGTATACAGCTATAAGCCTGAGACACTAAGCGAAAGTGTATCCCAGATCCAAAAGGACCTCAATAACTTAACTATATGGAGTGAAAAATGGCAATTACCATTTAACCTCAACAAGTGCGGGATCATGCACTTTGGAAAGCATCCCTATAAACCGCGACTTCACTTAAATGAATGTAGAGTCCAAACATTCGAATCAGTACACGATTTAGGAATTAATTACACAGGAAGCCTAAACTTTGAAGAACATGCCTCCTATATTATTTCTAAATCTAGACGGCTAATTGGTTTTATAATGAAAAACTTTTTCACAACAGAGGGTAAACTTACTCTCTACAAAATATGTGTACGACCCTCCCTTGAATACTGCTCTTTTGTCTTCTCTAATATGAATATCGCAGACAAGATAAGAGTAGAAGATGTTCAAAGACGTTTCACACGTCAACTACTAGGATGTAACTCGAATCTCGATTACACAGAAAGATGTAAGCATCTATCTTTAGAACCTTTATGGCACCGTAGGCTAAAAAACAATTTAATATTTCTCTACAAAGCGATATATGGGCTCTCCTTTCTAACCTCCTGCCCGACTATCACCCACGACCCAGCCTATAGACTTAGAAACAACGCATATACACTACTTACCGTAAAACACCAAAAACAAATGCGTTGTAAGTTTTTTACAGTACGGTACAGTTTATTGTGGAACAGGCTGCCAATGCCTATCCGTAACTGTGATACGTTTACCAGATTCAAAAAGCTAATAACCCTATTTCTAGACTCCAAAGAGCTTCAACATTTCCTTGAACTCCCGCCCACCAAGGAGGCACTTTATTACGGACCGCCTAGTGTCTAGAAAGAACAAAATTATAACAAGTTCGACTGTTACTAATATGAATATAACCAAATCACAGAATATATGGCCTATCCTTTCCTATTATTCATTGTTTATTAATCATGACTTCATGCTCCTAACCCTAGCTTTCAGTCCCCAAATCTCTACAGGTTAAATGTACATTATTCTTCCTAAAAGTCATGCTTTTTTTTCTACTGCAATTAGACAGATAGCTCAACCTTATGGATGCTGATCTACTAAGGCCGATCATACAAAGCTCAAAATTTGGCCACAAAGTCTTGTGAGTTTCTCAATGTTTTATTTGTCTTACCCTGAAATCTTTTTTTTTCTTTCTACAATTTTCTACCCTCTCATATCTTTTGATTTGCTATTAGTCCTTACTTCTTTAAACCATTAGTTATTTTCATAGTAGTGTGATATACTATATGGACATCTAACCCCCAAAAAAACTTTTCAACTATCTGATTTGCTTGTAACATGGACCTAGTAGAGACAGTGTATTCCAACTATGGGCTTTGATTAAAGCAGTATTCATACTTACCACAAACGTAAGAGAGCCTAACATCACAAAAGGAGGGAGGGTGGCGTTACTGACCAGCAAACATGAAGGTGGGGAGATAACTTCAATCCACCCATGTCTGTAGGGCAGAACATTTTGTTTAATTACGGCTCCTTATGTTTTAGTGGGATGTCACGAACTTATGGTATTGATGCTGATTTATCACGCAAAATACCTCTTTAAATCGTGTTACGAACGTTGAATTGGTTTCACTTCCTACCCAGAAATCCTATTACAAGCAAACTAGACAATTCGCTAATATACGAAGCCTACTCAAGACCCTATAATACCTGAAAAAAATAATAATACAAAAAAAACGAAAGGGGCTCTAATAGCTTCGATAATAAAAGGAAGATAGCCAATTGTATATCACAATACTGTTTCTAGCACTAGATTTTATTTTATAATCACAAATAATCCCATACTTTCAGCTCCTTTACGAATCGCCTCCATTTGTCAGTTGTATGTCCACTCACACCTTGTTATCACTTATTTTCTTTAACCTATTAAAATGCGATTTCTTAACAAATACCTTAATAAAAGAAAATTAGACTGAGTAATCATACCTTGAACATTCCTTCATGAAAGTTGGCTACTCTGCCCCTCGTGTTTTCTTTTACTTGCTCCCTCTTTCAGCCCCCTTGAGATATGGAACGGGTGACTTCATCCTGCACCATCCTTAAAGCCTTGGATATTCTAAAGGGACATAAGGTTGCGATTTCTAGAAGCTCATACCTTCAATGGACCTATCCTTGACCACCAGTCGCACATTTGCAACGCAACTTTCATGAAGCGCGCTAACTGTAGAACTGCTTAAAACCATCTACATTCATATCTCATAAATTATCAACCCAGCTATGTAATTTACTACAGTGAATATTGTATCATTTGTATCAATTTGATCTTGCCTGTAAACTGGCATGCCTCATGTAACAAACTGTTATTTGAGAATAAACTATTATTATTATTATTATTATTATTAAGTTTTATAATTTCTTATTCTGGTTATTTAACTATGTTGGCTGTACTTCTTATATATCTATATACATTTTTCACGTAGACTGGCTATACATATATACCATATGAACTACTTCTAAAAGTTTTCGGTTGAGGATATGTTTAGTGGCTTGATACGATCAATACTACTATTAATAAGTGGTTTTTAGACAAAACATTTGGGATTAAACCGTGGTCAAGTACTTATTAAGGTTCTCATCGTTTTTTTTCCTATTTAAGAAACTTATGCAATAACTTAACCAGTTCTCCTTTAGCATGCTTTTTAGTGTGATCATATAACCCATCTTTATTGGCAACATTCAGATTTTTTTTAAAAAATTTCTGACATTTAAGAATCAATAACTGTGAAAATATAGTACAGTGCGTTACTGTAAGGTTACTATGTTAGCCGCATTGATTCCACATACCTAATTCTAAACACAACTTATAAGGGAACTGTTTAGTAATCATAACATTGAACTGACGATATGAATATCACGGCTATGCTAGCATTAAACCAATTATTATAAGTGGCCCATACAAAGTCGTGGAACTTAACACTACCGTTATAAAAAAGACATTTTATGTCAATAACTGATATATATATACATATATAAAATGGAAATTTACTAAACTTGTAGTTTTTTTCTATAGTAATAATATTCATGTAAACAAAGGACTTATACTTTTCCAATATGGCACTTTGATATATCAATCTGTCCTCTTGTCATTTTTTCTCTCATATGTGCGCGACTTACGGGCAACAAACATCGTATTGAAGGTGGGTCTGGTGAACAAAAACGCAGGCCACACACGCACTCGAACCTCTGCCCTCCTGAATGCTAGACCGCGTGCTTAGCCGTTAAGCCACATCAGACCACGGAGGAAGTGACTTCAATATTTTCTTACACCAATTAATCACTCATAATACTAATGAGTAATAGGACTTACACACTTCTGAGGTGCAAACCAATTCGTTACTTGGATGAATTGACGATATATTGCTTCAATATATCATGCATACCTAAATCAAACAAGAAAAGGGTATTTGACACAACTGTACTTGATCCGCATACTCTACACAATTTTTTGCTTCTTAACCGTATATTCTTTTCCGTTTCGTGGAGTATTCTGATGCACCCTTGGTTACGCACCTAGTTGTAAAACGCGGTCATCACAGGCTCAAGGTCATGCGTTTGATCGATTTTGTTAAAGAGTCCAACTTCTAGCAAGTTCACCCTTTTACATATATGCATTACAAAAGAGTATTTTTTTCATGGTTTTTCGTGCACAAGATATCTACACTATGTCTATTCTCTTCCAGAATACCAATCCGTTCTGGAGACCAAGCACTTACATGGAACCGAACAATTATCAATTACATTTATGTATTTCCATTTTGTATCTTATTATTTTATGCAGGCAGTGGAGCAGTTCTTCAGGTTTGCTTGATTTTCACCATTACCTTTGAAGTAGATTCTTCTTTACTTTTTACTTGAGGGCGACTCAAGAGGCAGGTGAGTAAACACCTGATAGCCGGTCTGAGCACGGAAAAATCGTACCTCACCAACATGGTGTTGGGTAGCCCGCTCGCGGCACTTCCTCAGATATTCTTATTCCACATTCTCAAACTTTCTCTTGAAAGCACGCAGCAAACCATCGGCGATAGTTGTAGGAGAAATCACATGCTACAAAACAAAATGACAAGCTAGTAAATGAAGAGACATCCATGGACTATCGTTGACAGCGTCAGTCGTCACTGATTGTAAATCAAACAGTGAGCGAGTTGATAATTTTCCCTTGGGATGAGAAATAGAACTAAGGCGTTTTCGATAGTGAGGTTAATCGAACCGACGTTCCTACGGAAGTCGATTCTAGGGGGAAGCTAATGTAACAGCTTAGGTTGGTTGGTTAAGAGTCGACCCCAAACAACCAAGCATATGCCAAAACGGTATTGCTCAAGTATTCATTCACTTCCTTATTTTTTATAAGCGTTATATTCCCTATTATCTTATATTGAATGTTGAGAGCCTTTGTTTGTCTGAACAGATAATCCCACGCTCCACTGTGACTGCGCTAAGATCGAAATAAAGACCTATTCACTACTTGTCTGGTTTCTTCTGTCAATAGCACGAGGGTTACCTATAGGCACGAAAGATCTAACCTCCTACACGAACAGGCTTACAAACGCAATGCGTTCAGTTAAACCTGCTTCCACTTGACCTCAATCAACTGATGTTTTCGTTCAACCTGACTTACCGACCTTCGGTATAATCATACAACACGACTCCTACGCTTATAATACCTCAACTGACATGCAACACACTCGATGATACTTCGACAGTATCAGAAAATAAACTTAAGACGACGCGTGTAGTGGCATTGGACAATAACCGCACAATCCACAAAGCTGTGAACACGAGACTACTCAGAAAATAGATATTCAATATTTAACGCGGATAAATACCTAACGATGGGGAAGGCGCGAACAATGAATTGAATGGACTGGAGTTGATCGAGTGGCATGGCTCGGCCATGCAGGCGTGGTCTCTGCTGAATGTTACCTTATATCTTCAATTCATATTAAATATATTGTTCTTTCTCTAGCCTAACCTTGTTCTACATCATGTATTGGTAATTGATACGATACAGTGAGTTGGTGTAGTCGATGATGTGACTTCCACGTAAGATCTTATAGATTAGGCAGTTATATCATGACAAATCTACAATTTTAGGATTAGGTCTATTATTAGAGCAGTACTAATATCACAGTAGATCATAGTTCTACACGCGTTCTGGAATAAAAGTAAGATTTCCAGGACATTTAAACGATTATTGCACGTAAGGCAATACTTGACATTTTATATTATCTCGATTTTTCTTTTTACCATGTGTAATATGTTTGTTTTGGATTTTAAAAGAACAATTTTAATGTGTTTATATATTTATATTTTTATTTAAAAAAAACAAAGCGAAAAAACGTAAGAATCCTTTTTGAATGATATTACGTGTAAATGAGTTTATTTTCCATTTTTTTCGCCGGCATTTTGTTTTTACGCGCGTACGAGTGTATTTCTACGTGCACTTACATTTTCTACTTTCTTTTCCAGGACGGCTGGAAAAAACGACGAAGTTTATGAGGAGCCGAAGTTTTCATTGTACTTTTTTCTTTTTTTACGATACTGTACTTCGTGGTCCCATATAGTAAGGAAAGACAAATAGACGCTTATAAACTTAGAAAGCTATCAGAAGAGTGTTTACCAACGACAAAACTCGTTGGGTTTAAACTTCTGGCTGGCCACGTCTTGGGGTCATCACTACCTCACTAGGGGGGAGTGATCTGTAGAGGTAAATAAGTCCCCAAAATAATTAGCTCTGTAAGTTTTCCACATTGGATGCTGACCAGATTAGTTTTAGTGGACTCACCTAGCTGAAGGCGCCCGGTCGTGCATCCGTACCAGATCACGTATGGGAACGCCGTGCTCAACTGCTACTACGATCGCTAGCCAGATTAGATCAGATAATTCCGATATATTGGCAATCGTCAAATATAACTTCTGATCTCCTCGATTCTGTCTTTTGATTTCTCTTGGTGGGTACGAGTTATGTTAGAAGGTTTTACTGGTAAAAGCGTTGTCAAACACTGAATGCCTGTGCCATCTTCAATCGCAAGGTTAGGGTTGTAGCCTCTCAATAAACACCTCTTCTCTTAAATCTGTTGTAAACCAATCGTGTGTTAGCACCCTAACGTTAACCCCGACCTAACCCTATGGACGAGTTTCTGTACCATATGAATTATGAATTCAGAACTTCTGAGCCTTTATCAAACCTTGACAAGTTTTTAAATCGTGTAAAAGAACGATATCCACTGTAATTTATTACTTTCTTTTAATATTTTTTCATTTTATACTAACTGTCTTCTGATTGGCTAATAATTGTCAAGGTCATTTAAGATTCGTTCGTAGTTAGTCCCTAAATTAGAGTCTCGCCGTAAATAGTCCTGTGTTGCGAAATAGGGTTACAATTGCATCTTTTCAGTCGTAGGTAACTTATCTTATTTAGTGACGTTTTGAATATCGTAGTGAGGGGGGGGCAACAGAGTATGATATAATATGTATCAGGATTTTAAATTGTAGTTCATCCGGTCCTATTAATTTTTCAGTATCTAAAGAACATAGCGCTTTCAGTGCATAATTCTGGATAAAGTTCTGCTTAGTCCTGATCTTCTTTCATCACCTGAGGTAGATTTCCATCAATAACTATCGAGGGAATCTATGGGTTATTGTCTGTATAAGCTTGAGTGAATTTGTGTCATTTCAAATAATCTTTCCAAACTGACTGGTCATTATTCCGTAGAATCTGTGTATTCATTCGCCTTCATGTCCTCCTTCAATGTACCAGGGAATGTCAGCTTGTTTGCTTAATAGACCACAGTGAAATTGAACCTGAATTTAATCACATGGTCATTATATTCCATAGGTGGATGATACCTAACTCTACGAATATCGTCTTTGACTTATGACCAGGTC